CAGTTTAGTGTCTGCAACCCATGAGCCGTGCATCAGGAGAAGCAGCAGTGCAAACTCTCTGTGGCCTGTCGTCCTCTCTGCTCTCTTCTAATGTAAGTGCTGAATGCAAACCATACACAGACGTTGGTTGACACATATAATTCTGACGTTACCGTTTTCAGTATCTGTCTGTTTTTATGTATGGAAATGAAGTTTCAGTAAGAAAATTGACTCCCTCTCTTTTTGTCTCAGGGTTTGATGGAGATCTGGTCGGATGACAGCTGGAACTGTTGTCATAACCGGAGGAATTCTCGCAACAGTGATACTCCTGTGTATCATTGCAGTGCTTTGTTACTGTAGACTCCAGGTGAGCATTGCATTTACATTTCATTCATTACTTTTCTAAAAACATTTTAGAGCTTTTAGAGCGCTATGTCATGAGCCAGATGTTGCAAAAGACCCAATGGTCAAACATGCCTGTCTAGCCCATATTTACACAGAAAAACAATGGGAAAGCAGCGCAAATGCAAAAGTGCATTTTGTGTAAACAGCATGTAATATTTGTAAGCTGTTAAGTTTGTAGTCCCAAAACCCAGCAGAGAATTTGTATTTTTGAGATATGGGTGTCCTTAAGAATTTCTAATGTGTATTAGAATGCCTTTTTTTTTTACATTTAAATACTGTTGCAAAATTCACATTTGAAATGTGAAAGTCTCTTCAAGTAGTGCTAACTGCAGACCATATTTTACTACTCACTATTCACTATTAGAAAAACCCAAGGAAAATTCCTGAATTTCGAATTAGGAGCCATTCACACAGAACATGTTTTTGTGTTTAAAAAGACACAGGGCCGTTGAATGGGAAACAAAATGCAAAATTTCAATCTGTTTTTTCAAATAACTTTTTTAACTTGTGCTATGTTTACGTGAGCACAACAGTGAAATATGTCAGTCTAGCACATGTTTATATAGAAAACAATAGAAAAGCAACGCAGTGAAATGCCAAAACATGTTCAGTGTGAATGGCCCAAATTTGTTACGAGCTGTTTAGTTTGCAGTCCTAAAAGCAGCTAAAAATAGCTTATGGTTTCCCTTAAGAATTTCTAATGGGGTTTCAGATTTAAAAGTACATAAAAATCTGTGATGATTACCAATATGTTTTCAAAATTCACACTTAAGGTGATGATTTGACTTTACTTTCGATTTTAAAGTCTCTTCAAGTAGTGCTAACCACAGACCCTATTTTATTCATGATTAAAAACTGCTGTTCTGGAAAACCCCATATGTCAATTTAGCCTTAGCTACTTGTTGACCTAAAAACGACCTCATGACTCAACAGCTCTATTATTTAAATAACTAAAATCCATTGAAGAATCATTCTGTGTTCTGTGCTCAAATAAGTTCAGCGTGTTACTCAACAATTTGAGGAAGATCTGCGTTGAAGGCCCAATGCTTAATCAAGTTTCCTCTGTATATCAAACCATCCCTCCATCCTAGTATTACTGCTGTAAGAGGAATGAGTCAGAAGGGGAGACGGGCTCGGTCGGAGATCCTCAGCCACAGTTCGCCTGCAACACATGCAGTGCTCCAGGAGTGGATGGGCCGGCCGTTACACCTCTCTCGCTGCCCTACGACCCCGCTCCGCCTCACAGCTACTGCCCGACTTGCTCACCCTACTACCTCCGTGGCACGGATGAGATGCGGAACGGCGGCGAACGCCTGTCCTACATGCCCACTCACTACGAGAACCATGGCGCCACTGCCCTTGGTCTGGCCGCCATGTACGGCCCCATGCTGAGCCATCGCAGTACGCCAGACTTTTACACCAATACACGAGCCATCAGCACTGACGTCTGACCCTCACAGACCCGGAGATGGACCCAGGGACAGAGTCGCCTCTGTGGACCAGAGCAACTGGGGCCGTTACATCTCCATGCGCCAAGAGTCAAAATGACCTACGGGATGCCATGTTATTCTTCCACACAGGTCTATGGCCATCTTTAGTTTTCCATTATCTTTTGTTTTACCTGCTGTTTACCTCTTCCTTGCACATCCCTCCCTCTTTGTGCTTTGAGGGCTGTGTGTTATGACATGAAGTGTTTGTGGAGTTTTTGGCCTTTTTAATGTAAGTCTTAAACGTTAAATGCAAAAAGGTATTTTATTTCTATGGAAAAGTCAGATAAAGCATATATTATAGTTAGAAAATCGAAATAGAGCAGCCCAAGGAAGCTTTTTAAGGCTCATCTCAAGTATTTTGTTGTTTATCGTGACATAAAAGGCAAACATTCCACACTAATTTTAATAGCTTTTAAAAAAAAGTATCTTTGTTGGAAAGAGCATGACATTCAGCTTTATCTAAATATCCCTGATTTACTGAATCTTTGTCTTTGGAAAACTTATTTTAAAATGAGAAATTATCCAAAATGTGATTGTCTTCATGTGTGTTGATCTGTTGGGAAAATGTTAAATGAATTACTGATGATGATTATATTGGTCAGTTCATATTTGAATATATGTGTCACATTAACTCAAATTCACAATGGCACAGAGTGAGATGTGTTGACAGTTGTTGAATTATCAAATAAGATTGAGGTTGGAGTTGAATTGTTAATTCTCACTTATTTCTTTGTCCATATCCACTACATACTACGATTAAGAGCTTTTTAAAGTAACATTTCAGTGCAGTTGCTGAAATCTCTAATGGTATTTTATTTTTAGATTTATACAAAACATTTTCAAAAATCTTCTTGAGGCACTGAGAGAAAATGACCGGAAAATATTAAAAAACATTTAATATATCTTGTCCCTGTTTGTATGGTATTATGGCAGTTGAAATTATACTTATAGGAACGATAAGGATACTTATTATTTGTCTTTGCAAATGTGTTTATGTAAATTATATTTTCTCACATATTTGTTTGAGTAGCCATTGGTTTATGAATTGTGCATTCTGATGTCTATGTTCACTCTGTCTGAAGCACTCTTTGTTAGTAACTGGTTCACAATACAAATCACAGGATGGCACTTCTATTTTACATGTGAATTCTTTTTGGCAAAAATGGGAATAAATATGGAGTATATCAGTCTATGGTTTAACATACTAGCCTGTTGTCCACATATTTCACAGAATGCTTTTGAATATAAATGAAGCATTTATAAATGCCTGTAGACTTTTATAAAATTGGTCAATTGTGATCAGAGTAATAAAAGCCATTTCACATCTATACAAATACATGTACATAAAGATCAAATTATTTCAATGATTGAAATGTTTCCTGTCAAGTCTATGTCTATCTGTATCTAAGAGCCGACTGCCAATGCTTTTGTTTACGATAGATAGATAGATAGATAGATAGATAGATAGATAGATAGATAGATAGATAGACAGATATAAGTTATAAAGTATTTTTTCACTGCAGGCAGCATTACATTTTTTAAATTTATATATGATTTATACCTATGATGGCAAATCAGAATTTTCAACAGCCTTACTCCAGTCTTCAGTGTCACATGATCCTTCAGAAATCATTACAATTATTTGATTTGATTTGATGCTCAACAACATTTCCTAACAGTTATGCTGCTTAATGTTTTAGTGGAAACCATGAGATACTTTTTTTTTAATTCTTTGATCAATAGTAGGTTCAAAAGAACAACATTTATGTGATATAGTTTTTTTTAACAATATAAATGTTTTTACTGTCAGTTTTGATCAATTTAATGTATGCATGCTTAATAAAACTATTAATGTCTTTAAAAAAAAAAAACAGTATAGTATACAAATCCACTGCATGAGGAAACACATTTATGTAATTTTGACAAAATCTTCACTAATCTTCACTAAACAGTTTTCTCTTTGCAGCCTGTTCTTTCACTTTGATATCTTAAAGCGCTGAAGACATTTGACAGATCTGGGAGTGCCAAGCAGGGCAGAGACTGCATTCTCTCTGTGTATTGTGTTAAACTACTTGAAGGACCAGTTTAAGATCTTGTTAAACAAATAGCTGTTTCATGCATCTCATTTGCATTGCAGTTCAGCATATGTAAAAGAATTTCACTCTCAGCATGATGAAACTTTTTCAGCCATAACAAGCAGCACACTTAACAAACTGATGTGAGAGTCACTCCCCTCCTCACAGTGAATGAGCCCTGGAGAGAGTTGTGCGTTTGTTTGTTTGCTTCACAGGGTCATGACGAAACCTGAGCACTGAAAGGTGGCGCCTCCTCCAGTACAAGAACCTTTGAACACCGTGACAATTTGCTCTTTGTCTTTATTGCTCTCTTCTCCTCCCTTCTTTCAATTACTAATAACATCCTCCCCCACTTTTGTTCACTTTTGTCCTCTTCTCTTTCTCCCAGCTTGGCTTTGTTCAGGCTGATGACCACATCAAATTATCTCTGTATTTCAGACAAAGAAGCAAACATAGTTTTATAAGAAACTCTAGTGCTTTTTAACCAGTTTTGATTAATAATATCTGCATTATGCCTCCCTGAAGCCGCAGTGAGATGATAAAAATAGTTCACAGCCTCCATCAATCCTGCCGAACATATACAGCGGCCAGATAAGAAGCTTAAGGAATAGAGGAATGTACTGGCACCTGCTTTTGTCCCAGGAAAACTGCAGTGTTTTTGTGTAAGAGGCGACCTACAGGATTACAGCAAGAATTTCAATTTCACAGTCTTTAGCCCTGAGCTTGAACCCACAGACAGGCTAGCAAACTAAACAGCGACGGTAAAAGCTCTTCTGAAAAATATATCTGTTCCAGGTCCTATGTGTTGGATTAATCATTTTAATAATATTTAACTTGAGTTCAGCTTCAGCAATGAGGAAATTGTGAGTGGAAATAATTAGTATTGGCTGCTGGATTATGGAATAATACTGTAAGGAAGTTGAATAGGGAGAATTTGGAAGAGTATTTGTACCTGCTTGTTAGGTAAGTGAAGATCCAGAGGACAAAGGTGGACTGAAATGAATCCCCTCCCATAGTGTTACGTTGGGGCAGGGCTTGCATTGAGACAGACAGATATAGACTGCTGCCTGTCAAACCTGTTGTCATTTCTTCAGACAAGTTTAGCTGCCTACTTTGTATTTAGAGATCGCTTGCGTTCTACTCACCTGCCAAAATGATGGAAGAAGTGTCTATTGCTGTGGCCTATGATGCCCATATTATTGACCAGATGTCAGAGGAGGAGATCCTGGCTAGTCTAGTAGTGGAGACTCTACCAAAACAAGTGGTAAGTTCAGCACCCTTTGACCTCATGTTTGTCACATGTTGATTCAAACCTGGCATTCTGGAATTTTTAAGGCGTAGCACAATAGCACGTTTGAATTCAAATCTCTTTACAACAATGCAGAAATATTAGTGCATTAGCGATCATTTACTTTTTGCGATCGTTTACTCCTTGGTGCTCACGAACATATATTTTCTATATAATATTAGAATAAATACATGATGTACAAAATAAATTATTTTTCAAATGTTTTATCATTAATTTATATATATATATAGGAAGAACCAAAGACTTAAACTACTTCAGTCTGTGTGCATTGAATTTATTTAATACACGAGTTTCACAATTTGAGTTGAATTACTGAAATAAATGAACTTTTCCACGACATTATAATTTATTGAGATGCACCTGTATATTAATGTAATTACATGTAAATTAATAAAAAAGTAGATATTACGTAATTTAATATAATATTGTCATATTGTACATAATGCATAAAATACATTTTGTATATTATTATTATTTTACTTTTTATCATTTTTATTAATTTATATATGTATATATGATCATATATAATAATAATGTAATATATAATAATGAATTAATATTTATTCAAATGAATGTATTTAAATATAAATTAATCAAAATGTAATCAAAATTTCAAGAAATACAGCTCATATCAATCCTGCAATCATTACTGTATAATATGTTACAGTACATTCCTTTCATGCCTTTAAGAGTTTGCACACCTGATATTATCTGAAACGTCTTTGAATCTTCTTTTTGAACAGGTGCCCTCTAAAAAGCCAAAATTAAGGGATAACCAAGTGCAGCCAGAAGACCCACTTGACAGGTACGAGGTAAGAGATCACACCTTGACGAAAACAAAAGGCTTCTGTCCTCCTTTCGCAACACACACATCTACAAAAACTGTATAGCTCTTTCAACATCTACATTTTGTGAAAATTGCATAATCATGCATTGAATACTTCAGGGTTTAGATCTGTGGGATAAAGACACCTTGACGAAAACAAAAGGCTTCTGTCCTCCTTTCGCAACACACACATCTACAAAAACTGTATAGCTCTTTCAACATCTACATTTTGTGAAAATTGCATAATCATGCATTGAATACTTCAGGGTTTTAGATCTGTGGGATAAAAGAATGATTTCTCTTTCCAGAGAGAAAACCGTAAGCTTCATGAGACCAGTTTGCGCCTGGAGCAGGAGAATGATGACCTTGCGCAAAAACTTGTCACCAGCAAGATTGCACTGAGGAATGCTTTAGATCAGGTCTGTCAAATTATTACGAGTCGTGCATGTCATACGCAACAGGCCAGTTTCATTTTCTGTTTTATTTGCTGCGTATGTTTAGATAGATCTGCTGTGTTTTTCAGACTGAGGACCAGGTGGATGAATTAACCAAGGAGCTTTTGAAAACCAAACAGCTTCTGATGGTTACAGAGGAGGAGAAAAGGGGAAAGGAGGAGGAGGCTTCACAGGTGGGCTTTAACATCACTGATGTACACAATAAAGTGTTTTTTGACATTCTCTGTCCTTGTCTAAAGTATTGATGTGTTTGACAGCTAAAAGGGATGTTTAGGAGAGAGCTGGACAAAGCAGAACCAGATATTAAGAGATCAAACAATATCATTACAGACTACAAGCAGGTAAACATTCAATTAGAACTCCACACATTCAATAAACATTATTGCATTTGATGCCAACTTTCAGCCCAATTTATTGCATCCTTTAGATTTGCTCTCAACTGAATGCTAAACTTGAAAACCAGAAAGCTCAAGCTGACAAAGAGCTGGCAGTTTTCAAGGTAAGAAACACACTGACCTCAAAGCACCTTGACCTTAATCATTAGTCTTATTTTAGTAGCATGATATTTAGTGATACATGATACTTTTTCAGAGCAAGATGTTGGAGTGTGAGCGCTGCCGACACATCTTTAGTACGGATGGATCGATTCAGCTGTGCTCTGAGGATGAAGATACCTGTGCTCAGGATGAAGTGAAGGCATCTCTCAGAGAACAGGTCCAAGAATTAGAGAGAGAGCTGGCCCAGACCAAGCTACAAATGGTGGAGTCCAAATGCAAGATACAGGTAAGAGTCTTTGTGTTATTATTAACGCTTCTAATTCTGGAAGTATTTCTTAATTAACCAATAAAAGCTATATTAGAAGTTTTCTTGTTAAACTTTCCATGTAAAAATGTATGGTTACAGAGGAGGAGAAAAGGGGAAAGGAGGAGGAGGCTTCACAGGTGGGCTTTAACATCACTGATGTACACAATAAAGTGTTTTTTGACATTCTCTGTCCTTGTCTAAAGTATTGATGTGTTTGACAGCTAAAAGGGATGTTTAGGAGAGAGCTGGACAAAGCAGAAGCAGATATTAAGAGATCAAACAATATCATTACAGACTACAAGCAGGTAAACATTCAATTAGAACTCCACACATTCAATAAACATTATTGCATTTGATGCCAACTTTCAGCCCAATTTATTGCATCCTTTAGATTTGCTCTCAACTGAATGCTAAACTTGAAAACCAGAAAGCTCAAGCTGACAAAGAGCTGGCAGTTTTCAAGGTAAGAAACACACTGACCTCAAAGCACCTTGACCTTAATCATTAGTCTTATTTTAGTAGCATGATATTTAGTGATACATGATACTTTTTCAGAGCAAGATGTTGGAGTGTGAGCGCTGCCGACACATCTTTAGTACGGATGGATCGATTCAGCTGTGCTCTGAGGATGAAGATACCTGTGCTCAGGATGAAGTGAAGGCATCTCTCAGAGAACAGGTCCAAGAATTAGAGAGAGAGCTGGCCCAGACCAAGCTACAAATGGTGGAGTCCAAATGCAAGATACAGGTAAGAGTCTTTGTGTTATTATTAACACTTCTAATTCTGGAAGTATTTCTTAATTAACCAAGAAAAGCTATATTAGAAGTTTTCTTGTTAAACTTTCCATGTAAAAATTTAATAAAAATATTAAATAATTAGTGGAAACTTTTCATCCATTACATAAAATGTAAACATAATTACTGTATAAATATAACACTTTACAATAAGGTTCAATTTTGTTAATATTTGTTAATGTATCAGGTATCATTAACTAATAACGAGCAATATTTTTCAGCATTTATTAATCTACAGTACTTTCTGCATATACTAAAACATTTTTAAGAATTCAAGTTGTATAAATTAACATTGGTTTGTGTATTATGAATAACATGACTCGACACTCTCAGAAAAAAAAGGTATAAAAGCTGTCACTGGAGCGATACCTTTTCAAAAGGTACACATTTGTACCTTATTTATCTATAAAAATAGTGCATATGTGTACTTTAAATTTACATACACTATCAGTACCTAAAGAGTTAATGGTACATACTTGTACCTTTCAAAAAGGTACAGCCCCAGTTACTGCTGTTGTTACTGTTTTTCTGAGCGTGAACAATGAGCCATAGTAAATTTATTAATATTATCATAGATAAATGCTGTTAAAAATATTGTTCATTGCTCATGATACCTAATGCATTACCTTATATTAAACACTTCTGAGATATGCTGTTGATATTTGAAATGACCAAAACAAACATGCCCCTACCCAAAAGTATCACAACCCTATCTTGATAGCTCCACCCCTATATTCACAAACATGCTACATGCAACAGGCACCTCCCCCATCATGACTGGACACGCCCCTTGCTGGTGATTGGCTACAAGTGTGTTTTGGTGCTCAGTCTGATCCGTTTCTCATAAATCACTTACTGCACCTTTAAAGAATTGAAGCTTATTATCAAGTGTTATTGAAGTGTCTCATTAATTAATTTAAATGTACACTTTTAGACTACAAATTATATTTCATTTTTCTGTCTATCATCTTGATGTCCTAAGGAGCTGGAGCACCAAAATGCACCACTGACGACTGAACTTCAGGCTGCTAAAAACACATGGCTGAGAAAAACTTTGGGCTCTTTCAGGACAGCTGCCAGCAGCCATCAGAACTCCTCTCAAACAGATCCTGCCTGGAGCCCCACTCATAACCCCCACTCCAGCTGGGTCACCAGAAGGCTCTCCTGGGCCCATCGAGAAGGGAGAGCAGCCAAAGTATGAAAAGGTTAAGCATACTGGTGGAGAAGAAAAGTATTTAATAAGAGCACTCCTGAAATGAGTCTCACAAATGATGAGAAGGCTTTTCCCTCAAACCAGAGGACATTATAGATCCGTATGGTTGTAAACGTTGGGAATGACAGGATTCTCAAAAGATGGGTGACAGAGGGAAGCAATATCTGTCCCTCCAGAGATGAGTGCAACAGATCAGTTGCTTTTAAGGCAATATATCTCACATGAAGACTATATGAAGTTTTTGTATTGCTGCGAGTTTAAGCATAATGTTTTACAAAAGTCACACTGCAAAAAAAATTTTCCAGTGTACCTAAAGATTATGCCTCATGTGGTAACATCTAAATGAGCTGGTTTCAATTTAATTTCACTAAATCAACCTAACTACATTTGGTTACATCAACAAAAGTAATTTTAAGGGTTATAGATCAGGTACAAACAGCTCTTTAAGGTAACAATTGCCTTCTAATGCTTTTTATGGTCCACTGTTGGTACTGTACAATGTGAATGTATTTCTTTCATTATGTTCTACAACAAATAAACTTTATGAAGTCAAGACAATTATCAACATAGTGACAAAATGACCTTTATTTCAATTGTAAACCACCAATTGTTCACTAATACAGAGAATAAAGCTTTTAATATTTGATATATGGTTACATGGTTTGGATCACAAATAGTTTGCATGTTCAAAGTAATAGCAGAAATATTAGCGGACCTTATAATACATAAAAAGAGATGAGCTCATAAAACAATATAAACAAGTAAATATGGATGCAAACAGAAACAGAAAGATACGATTTGCTAAGACTGATATGCATGCAGAACCTTTAGGTCAGCCAGGGAAAATAGACTGAGCTCTACTCAGACCGCTCATCAGGATTGTAAAGATCATCAAAATAGCCCTCAGTGGCTCTGAGCATCTGAACAACAGCATTTAGAAGCAGTATGTCAGTTTGAGAATCTATTTCCAGTTCATGGCAGTAGTTTTTCACTGGTACCACAGCAGACAGAGAGACTCCAAGCTGAGCGCTAACCTCCTGCATCTGTCACAAAACAGTTAATCAGAAATACTCAATATATGGGAAACAGAACAGTACAGAATACTGACTACAAAGAAATGTATGTTAAAGTACCACTTTGTTGATGTAGTGGCTCTGGTAGACATTTTTCAGGTCTCCCGCCACTAAGGGGCAGGCCTCATCCATCTTAGTCAGCAGAACCAGCTGAGGAATTTCTGAAGAACAGAACAATGTTAATTGAATTTCCATCATTTAGATGACACAACACACTCATGTCACTTGAAATTAATTCAAATCTGCTTCATTATTGTTTGTCACTTACTCAGCTGGTTGGTTTCCCTTCGAAAAACTGCAAATTTCTCGATCATTTTGTCAGAGAGGAGCTTGACTTTGCAGGTGTCAATCATCCATCTTAGTCAGCAGAACCAGCTGAGGAATTTCTGAAGAACAGAACAATGTTAATTGAATTTCCATCATTTAGATGACACAACACACTCATGTCACTTGAAATTAATTCAAATCTGCTTCATTATTGTTTGTCACTTACTCAGCTGGTTGGTTTTCCTTCGAAAAACTGCAAATTTCTCGATCATTTTGTCAGAGAGGAGCTTGACTTTGCAAGTGTCAATCACATACACCACACAGTGAATCTTGTCCTTCAAGCCAGGAGATTTATGGAAATGAGGGGAGTCAGGCTGTATAGGCATCGATGGGTTAAACTAAGAAAACAAAAGATATGAAGAATATCTTTAAATCATTCAGATTTAAGACAGAAAATATAGAATAAAAATAAATATAATAATAATAATGGTAACACTTTATTTTAAGGAGTCCTTGTTACACATGTTACATGTACTTACTATTATAATAACAATTAATTATGCATAATTAATTGTTATTATAATAGTAAGTACATGTAGTTAATTAATATTACTCAGTACTTAAATGTATAATTACACTGTAACAAGGACACCTTAAAATAAAGTGTAACCATAATAATAATATATATAAGTAATGTCCATAATTTTTTTATTAATCTAACTAATTAAAAAGTAAAACATCTTCCAGACTTATTAACTATTATGTTTACCTTTTACCTAAAGTTCTTACCTGATATCTGTCTTGAATGTGTCCCTTCAAAATGCTGGCAAAATCATCTACATCCAGGCCGGTGTTCAAACCCTCCTCCAGACCCATCGAGTCACACAGAGTGAAGGGAACATGGCTGACACCACTGCCTGGCTTTATGTAGTAGGTACGGAACTACATGGCACAAATATTTACCAATTATTTTCAATACACAAATACATACATAATTTTTTTTATAAATAATCACATTCCTTCACAAAATATTTCACTCTGTAAAACATCAGAGGTGGCATAATCAGGATACATGTCTACCTGAATAGTCAAACTGGTGCCAGCAGTGCCAGTGTTGGCCTGGCTGCTCACATAACCCTTGAATACAGAGTTTATGGAGTTGAAGAAACTTGATTTTCCAGCACCAACAGGACCCACCAGTAGAATCCGAGCCTGTTTAACTGAGCTAACAGAAGGCTTCCAACCAGAGATGATGCTCAAGAGCGCCTTTCTTCTCCTAAAAACATTATTAATTATCATTGTCAAATTCCTTAAACACTCCCAGGGAGGGACACAGTAGGTCAGGAATAATTCTTAGAAGACTTTGATCTTAAAACAATGAGAACAGACCAAATTAACATTTAAATTATTTTAAAGAAGACAGCAAATTTGGTTTGCTTTACTCACTCAGAGTTCCACTGCACATTTCTCCACGATTTCTCCATGAGTGCTCCATAACCTGATGAAAATTCACATAAGTTATTCACAGAACCGTTACTTAAAGTGCATTACTCTGTCAGCAATGATCTAAAAACTAGCACAAAATAATACAAACCTTCCACTCTGTACACCTCACATTCTGTCAGCTGTAAGTCATTCCCATGCATCTGCTGTGGATCGAATTGGTATGTTCCTGGATTACTGTAGACGCTGGCTGAGTTATTATAAAGAAACACTAAAGAACCAAAGTCTGGTCCTGTGTCAGTGAAAGCATACTGGGGATTTCCACTGAGCACACGCATAGGATCTTCTTTAATTTCTTTGTCATTAAAGCTGAAGAGAAAAGCTTTGTCATCCACAACATTTTGGTTGGTTTGAAGAAAATCCTTGCAAGTAAAAGCTCCAAAAACATATCCAGACTCATTGTAAGCTACAATAACAGTTGGTCCCTGCATATTACACTTTTGGTGAAATGCATTGGCATTGTAGCCATGCACACTGGCTTTGAACAGCAGGCTGAGGTTGGCATGGTTGAACAATGAGCAGAGCTTCTTCTTCTGCCGTTTATTCAAGCTGGATGTCACGGTGCTCATAATGATCTGAAAAACATACAACCAACACTTTTAAAGCACGCTGTTATAATGAAATAGAAATAAAAGATCTTTTTAAAGTATTTTGAAAAATATGTCCAACACATAAGCTTGCAGCGTGTTGTCCCCAAATTCATCTGAAAGTGTTCGAGTTATCCAAACTGTTAAATTATATTAAGTAGACTATGCAAAAAAAGTAAAAAACTATAATAAATAAAAATTATTGCAAAAAACATGAAATCAGCCTACTTTGGAACAAGTCGTCAATCGCCTGCCTTCTCCGTTTGGTACCCTGAAAGAGATTACTTTCGTTTTTGCTGATACGCAACTCAAAAAAACAATTTTGAGAGAAACATTTTTTTCTCTCAAAAATTAAGCTTGACGTCACGTCGAGAAACCTTTCGGCACGCCCATTACTCCAAGCTGCAGCTACCCCTTGGGCCACCATGTGCTCCCGATGGCCAGTCTGGGCTTGCTCCATTCCCCCCACTCCTTTTTTTGTGACTGACAATGCTCTGAAGATCGAAAATGTTTCTGATGCAAACAATGTAACTATACTGCTTTAAACCTTTATTTTGTGTTTAAATAACCTATCGTTGAGATTTAACTAAAATAATGTTAGAACTCATAGTAATAGCCTACAAAAACTTGTCTCCATATGTGTTTGAGTGGCTCAAAACAAAAGTGACCGATCCATTGCACTTATCTTTCCGGAGGAGTGGAGCAGCTTTATTAGATGTAATTTCTAATAATTGTTATTAAGGAGATTTAATTAAGGGGGAAAAAACATCACATTAAAACATCAAAATATCATCACATTTATTTTATACAGTTAAAGTGAATTGACTGTAAGCTAACTCGTTGAGTGGGATGTTGGACTCATGAAAAATAATCACGTTGTTTGTATTCACCTAAACTGATTTACTGGAGTCAAAACACGGACGGAATTGGCGTCAGTGCGAGCGGCGCTTGCTGTGAGGCGGGAGCGACGAGCCGGCAGAGGATTGCGCAGCCTTCCTTATGTTATGTTCACGATTTCTGATTTACTTAACGTATACTGCGTGAGGGGGGATGTGATTGGATGATAACAGGTATCGGTGATCATTCTCAAGTGATCAGCACCCCTGCTGTTGTATCAGTCAGTGGTTAGATCAGCGTAGCAGTCAAAGAACGGGACAAGGGAGGTCACGTACGGGACAAATCAATTAGACCCAAAATACGGGACGTCCCGGCTAATACGGGACGGTTGGCAACCCTATCTATAGTATATCCATGTCTTTGATATTTCTCACCTCAACTTCCTTTTTCAGTAGCAAATATTTCACACTCATACGCTGTCAGTCAAGACTAACCGATGCATGATTTATTATCGAATGTCACAGAACAAAACTGCACTCATAAAGTCCATTTCACAGTCCCTCCTGCCAGAAAAAAACTGAATTCAGCTCACGTTGGAACAAGTCGTCAGTCGTCTTTTGGCCGGTTTGTTTGTGCCAGGTAGGCTACAGAAAAATCATTGTACAAAGTAAAATCGTTTTTATATTAAATATACTGATTTACTTAATATCCAGTCACACAGTGCATCTGACACTTTGTTGTATCCCAGTTCCCAAATGTTTTATCGGGACCCTTGCTTGAATGGTGACTTTTTCCACAAACCAAATAGGCTCAAACCCCGCCCTGCAATCGATCTCATTGGTCAACTCAGTTATGGACTCACCTGACCTGTTAAAGGGGTCATATGATGCGATTTCAATTTTTCCTTTCTCTTTGGAGTGTTACAAGCTCTTGGTGCATAAAGAAGATCTGTAAAGTTGCAAAGACTAAAGTCTCAAATCCAAAGAGATA